TTCATGACATTTGCCATGACATAATATCCATTATAACAAATTTGTGGTTCATGACATTTGCCATGACATAATATCCATTATAACAAATTTGTGGATCATGACATTTTCCATGACATAATATCCATTATTAGGCCAAGGATTTCTTTCTATAAATAAAGGAGTTTCTCCTCATTTGCAAACATACCAATTCAAGAGCTTTTCACTCTTGTCTTTCTTTCTCCCCATTTATTTCATTATAGAGTATTTTGTAAGAGAGTGAGTTTTGGGAAATACTTATGTGAACCCTTTCTTTGGAGTGATCTTGTGAGGTTATTCTCTTGGGGTATTTGGGATTAATTAGAGTATTTACTCTAATTTTGAACTTTCTTTTGTACTCTTATTGGTATAGTGAAATTGCTTCTCTCTGCTTGTGGACGTAGGTCACCTTGACCGAACCACGTTAAATTTGTGTATTCTTTATCTTCTTTAATTACTGTTATTATCAACTTCCATTGTCTTTGTTATTGTCATTATACCGTTGTTTGGCTAAATTTCGCACTATCCGGGTTCCCGATCCTAACAAATTGGTATCAGAGCCAGATCTAACTGGGTTAGTTTAAATAGCCAAAATGACTCTAACAAAGTCTTATGTTGAGAAATTTGACCGAAGTGCAATCTTCAAAATGTGGCAATTAAAGATGGAAGCTATCCTAATTTAGGATGGCTTAGATTTGGCAATGCAAGGAAAGGAGAAGATGCCGGATAAAATGACGGACAAGGAGTTTGCCATCATAGACAAAAAGGCAAAAGCAGGTATTATTTTAAATCTTTCAAATGAGGTTTTGCATGAAGTTGCAGCAGATAGCTCAGCCAAAGGCATATGGGAAAAGCGTAAAACCTTATATATGAAAAAAACAGTAGAAAATAGGCTTTATCTAAAGCAAAAACTCTACACTTTTCGTATGGCTGAAGGTACCTCTATACTTACTCATCTTAATACTTTTGATTCTCTGCTTATGGATTTAAGTAACATAGATGCTGAAATCAAAGATGAGGATCAAGCTGTGTTATTGCTTGTTTCCTTACCCCAGTCGTTTAAACATATAAGAGACACTATGCTTTATGGAAAGGATAATATCTCTTATAAAGATATCAAATCTATTTTGAAATCAAAAGAACAAATAGATAGAGATATTATTGGAAAAACTAGTGGGAACCAAAGGGAAGGCTTATTCATAAGAAGTAGATCCAATAAGAAAGATTCAAGTAGTGAGAAACCTAAATCAAGGTCAAAATCCAGATACAGAAATGTCATGTGCAAATATTGTCATAAGAAAGGTCACATTATTTCTGAATGCTTTAAATTGAAAAACAAAGAAAAGCATACAGAAAAGAAAAATGAGCACAAAAATACTAACACTGCCAAAGCAAGTGTAGCTGCTGATGAGACTGAGGGAACTATTTTTTTAGCAACTAATAATAGTTTCAAATATAACAATGAGTGGATTTTAGATTTGGGTTGTTCTTATCATATGTGTCCCAGTCGGGATTTATTTACCACATATGAATCTATTAGAGGTGGAGTTGTCTTGATGGGCAACAATGTTGCCTGCAAAGTTATTGGAAAAGGTACAGTCCAAAT